CGATATATAATACTATATAAAGGCAACCATGTAGCCATTTTAGAAAATAAATAATAAAATACTATAAATAATTACATTTACCTTTATAAAAGAAATTTACCATAAGAGCTAACGCCCACTTTTCAAAGACAGTAAAATTTTAAAGTTTTTTGTGAAATAAATTTTTAACTACATAGTGTCTTTTACTAATTTATAATATGTATGGGCTTATATTTTATTTTTGTAAGCCTATCAGGAACTAAATAAGTTTGATTTAAATATTTTAGGGACTTAATAGATTCAATCGATAATTTAGGGATCAAATAGATTTTAATCTATATATACTTTAGAGATTTAATAGAATCAATCGATAGACAATAATAGTTGAGGGGTATAAGTGTAACAAATCCATATTTTAAGTATTAAAATTTGTTAAGGTTTAAGTGTAATAAATCCATATTTTAAGTATAAAAAATTGTTAAGTATAATTGTTTTTAAAAATTTCAACTGAATTAAAATTTCTCTTAAAATTAATACAATTAGAATTACAAATTGTTAATTCATACAAGAGACAAACTACAGGACTATCAATATAATTTGTCTAATAATTAATAAATTTTTTTAAAAAAAATGAATGGGATGAAGAATTTACTCATTTTTTTTAAAAAAAAAAAAAATCACTCAATGGCCATCTCCAAAAATCAGCTTCTCCTCTTACAAGTTTCACACAAACTACCACGTGACCACAATATTGTTAAGTTGATGGGGAATACTTTCTATTAATCTCGTTTGTAATTTTTTATTGATTGATGACATTACATAGGATGGTATCACATTCACGCTAAATATTTTCTCGTGTTTGGATTGAAATTTTTATTCAAATATTTTGTGATATATATTTTTTTTAATTTCTTTTAATTATTCTGTATTAGGCTCTTTCGCTGGAATGAGGGATTTTGTTGCTTGGTCAATTGCAAGTTCGTTCTCATTAATGGCTTCACTGATATCTTGAAATCGATTATTACAATTTCGGATTGCAGAAGAGGAGAACCAAGATTGTGAAAATTAGGCTTCTTGGGGTCCTCTGTTTTTTGGTGGGTTCTTTTTCTCCCCTGATCTTTGGGCACTTTTCAGTAAATTTCATACACAAAATTCAAAATTTATGTAGTCCCAAAACAAAATACTTGTATTAATTAATTTTACATATTTTTAATTGTTATCAAAAAAAATTTTAAAAGAAACAAATTAAAAACGCTGCTACATTTTACAATCGTCGAACTTCTATCAAATGGCCACCAAAGGCGCTGATATGTTTTTTATGCTTTGTATGTTAAAAAAAGATATTTTATTTAATAATAATGTTATTTACTTATGAAGTATAAGAGTTTGACCTTTATTTTAATTATAAAAAATAAAGAATAAAAAAATTTGGATTTAAATAGTAAAAAAATAATCTAAAATATGTACAAAATAGTAAAAGTCCAAATCGTCAACTTAATCTGCATACACCCACCATTATGCACAACTTGCTCAATCCTCATCCGTTAAGCGAACGATTGATAATTTTCAATCCACATAAATTCGAAGAAATGACAGATGGAAGCCACTCGATCTAACTTGACCCTCAACTAGCAATTCAGCATGATTTCCATTCATACATATTATAAAATACAGAATGTCTATTAAGAAAGAACACATCAAATTAGTGACATATTCAAAAAATAATTACAAAATAGTGATAAGATTATAAAAATTAAAAATTAAAATCATAAAATTTGTCATATATGTGTAATTATTTTTCTGAAATTACACTGGGATGCAATTCCCCTCCCCCCCTCAAAAAAAATAATGATAATAAATAAATTGTCACCATGTCAAATGAGTCCATCACTTTTCTTTCTTTTTTTTCTCTGGTTGGTTTTATTTTTATTATTGTAAAGAATAATGTTTGAGGGCCACAATTTTTGTGGCTCAAATGGCTCAAAACTGCCAAAACGACGTCGTTTTGGCATGTTTTGTGCTCAAAACGACGTCGTTTTGACAGTTTTGAGCCATTTGAGCCACAAAAATTGTGGCCCTCTACCATTGCCCATACATATTATGGCTCCGTTTGGCAAGGAAGTTTGGCAAGGAAGTTTGGGGCTATTTTAGGCACAAAAGATAAAATAGGTTATTTTAGCCACAACAAACAAAATATTACATATAATTCATAATCATTATACTCTTCTCTCACAAAAAAAATCAAAAAAATTAAAAAGTCAAAAAGTCTTTCTCAAATCAAACTTTTTAACCCAAGTTAAAATAGTCAAAAAAATTTAAAAAATCAAAAAATCAACTCATTTCCCCAATGGAGGTTATATGATAGTGCTCATCACTCAGTTTATTTTATTTATATTTTATGTGATTAGTTCTTTGATCAATTTTGTATCTTTAAACTTACTATAAATTAATTATGACATTTTAATCGAGTTACTCCAAGGTAATATGTAAAAATGACATTAAGGCTCCCTTTCAGAATAGCTAAAATAGTTTTTTGAATTTTTTTTCTCGTTTTTAGTAAAATTTCTCAAAATTTCCCTTTTTTTTTTCTTTTCAAGTTTGTCTAATTTGAATAATATAAAATTTTAATTTAAAACAAATAATTAAAGAAAAAAGAAGAAATCATTTTTTCCCTTATAGGACTTTTCCATTTTTTTACTTTTCATATCCATTTTAGTTTAGTAAAACCTAAAAATGATTTTTTTTTTTTTTGAAAAATTCTAAATTAAGTTCACTAAAGATTAAAAAAATATATATTTTAAATTGTTAATTTTTTTTCTTAATCAAAACCAGCCTAATTTTGGTTTCAACCAATCAAGAATGACCACTTCAATAAATATGAACTATATATTTCAATTTTACTAAATTTTAACAAAAATAGAATTTCAAGTTTACATTTGTTGAGATTATTTTATGTTGTTGGTTGGGACCAAAATCCTAAGTAATAGTCTGAAATTACTCATTAATTATTTTATATTGAGGTATTTCAGCTCACCCTCATAAATCTCATTGGAGCGCTGAATCCCAAGTCATGTGTAATTTTTGATTTTTTTTTTGTTCTCTTAATTTTATTTTATGTTTTTTGGTTTGAATCATAACTTCTTTTGGGTCAACTGACGATTTCATTGGCCAATATACAACAACCCTAATCAAGTTGATAGGATCATTTTCTCTTATTCTACAGGATAGATGAAAATTTAATTAGGGGTTCGGGATGCCTCCAGTCAAAATTTGGATTGGTCACTACGTCAAAATAGAGCATTAACGGCGGTTTTTTTAACGGCGGTAACGAAAATCGCCGTTAATACCGCCATTAATGTATCATTAACGGCGGTTTCGTTACCGCCGTTAAAAAATCGCCACTAAAAGTGTCTTTAACGACGATAATGAAACCCACTTTTAACGGCGGTAACGAAACCGCCGTTAATGCCCACTTTTAACGGCGGTAACAAAATCGCCGCTAATGCCCAATCATTACCGCCGTTAATGACGGCGGTCTTTGCCGGCGGAGCTCCGGCGAAACTCCGGCGTGCTCCGGCGAAACTCCAGCGAGCTCCGGCGAAACCATCTACAATAAAATAAAAGTAATGTTTAAATATTTATTTAAGGAATATATTTCATAAAGAGTGGCGAGTGGTTGGTGTTGGTGGATGAGAGGTCTTGGGTTCAAAACTTGAGGAGCGCAAGAAAAAAAAATTATTTTTTAAAAAATTTGAACCTATTTACGGCGGTAAAAAACCGCCGTTTTTGGTCCTATATTACCGCCGTTTTTTGTCGACTTTTAACGACGGTAATTTGCCTTTTTACGACGGTTTCACTTTTTCCGACACACGCATAAACGACGGTAACGAAATTGCCGTTAATACCGCCATTAAAGGCTTTAACGGCGGTAAAAAACCGCCGCTAAAGCCCAATTTTGACGTAGTGGGTGGGTATTATTTAGATCCGTAGAATTCATCATATGTCTGATTTTGATGATTTTAATCATTTATTTTATCAGACTCTACGTGTATATTATTTATATAAAAAATTAAGTTGATCCAATATTCGTAACTCTTTCACTTTATCTAATTTGTTTTTAAAAAAATTAACGGTCAATTTGCTTTTAAAAATAAGCCATTCAATTTTTTTTTTTTCCATTCAAATGCGATAAAATAAATGAGTTACAAATATCAGATCACTATAATTTTTTTTTTTAAGAATCATATATATGTAAGACCCAATAAAATAAATGATTCTGATTATCAAAACAAGACTTATAGCCTCCGTTTGGGAAATGGGTTGGCTTTTTGGCTTTTTTGGCTATTTTAGCCTGGGCTAAAAAATTTGGTTTGGGAAGGACTTTTTGGCTTTTTGGCTTTTTTGACTTTTTTTGTGAGAGAAGAGTGTAATGATTATGGGTTGGATGTGATGTTTTATTTTTTGTGACTAAAATAGTCTATTTTGTCTTTTATGGCTAAAATAGCCAAAAAAACCCCAAACTCTTCTTGCCAAACAAACCCATAATAACTCCATGGGTCCTGACAGGACCCTCCAGTTCAGATAATGAACGGGAGAGAAGCTTATCCCTTTAAGTAATACTATTATTCATTTTTTAAATGATTGCGGTGGATGATAATAATTTTTAAATTTAATACTATTCAATTATGAGGCTTTTTGGTATAACTTATCTAAGTTCTTTATAATTTTGAGGAGGTTCTAGCCACCACTTTTCAATGTGTTTGAACATTTGCTCTGTAACAAACACACAGATAACAACAAAAGCACTAATAAAATTACTAACAGTATTAGAAAATATAACAAGTTTAGGTGTTCTAAATGCTACACACCTTTATAATCTTTTGGGTAAGAGCTTGGGGTGGAATGTCATCCTTAGTTCTCACTCTGTTTTCTGTTAAGAGAAAATTAGGCTGAAAATTTCCTTCATAGCCACTTCTCAAGATGTTTGAACTAACATGTTCAGATTCTGAAGTGATTATATATTCTTTACCAACTAAAGAAATTGTTGATTAGTAATTTAAAGAACGAAAGTTATATCATACTTACATTGGATTTCAACTCATATTCTTTAGTACGAAATTAATCCATTCAACTCGCACTTCATCAAGTTCGGTTTCCGTGTAAGTTTTTTTCCATTGAACTGCAAGAAGTTATTTACAAACAATTAGATAATGAAGAAGATGTACAAGTATCATGAATATAATAGTAATAAAAGTTTAGAATTTATCTACATTTTGTTTTCTTAGGATGCTTTGATCTCTAATGAGGTCTTTCATATACCGCATTACATAAAACCCACATTCCACGTTTGTAGGTTGTTGCGGGGACTACATAAAAGCATTTTCATTATTATTAGAAACTATATATAAAGTGTTATAATCAAGCTGAACGATCATTAGCATAATATAAGTATGATAAAATTAGAGAAAATGATATTGATTACCTGAACTACTTTCCAAACTGGATTGGTCCTCCTCCTCATTTGGGTAGTTTCATAAATTTTCAAAATACTTTACAAAAGAAATTCCAAATGTCAAAATATTTTTGGAGTAACTCAAATTTCTTAAAAATATACGAACTAGCCAAACTTAAGTGTTTATTACAATTTCAAAGCTTGTGTTTATTTTAGAATTAATCGGATCAAGTAAGTACACAATCATCAATGTTAGATCAATGACTAACAATATCCAATGGTATCTACAATTGAACAAGTCACAAGTATAAGCTTAATAAGTTTATTATCATTTGAACAGATGAAATAAATAGTTTTAGATAATTACCCAATATCTAAAACTATTTATTTCAACAGCATGATTGAACAGTATATATAAACACATATTTAGTAAATCATAGCCTTGAAAAGATTTTATCAAAAAATTATTATAGCAACACATCAACAGAGAGAGTAAACTAAACTAAATCCCAACAAAAATTAAAACTCAGATCAAGGTAGAGAAAGAAGAGCAATTAATATACCAAGTCAAGATGGGTCAACTTCGAAAGAACAAACAAATGAACAATCCCCCACAATTCCAGTATTTGAGTATTGAACAATTCCACCAAGATTTTAACAATTATGTGCTGGTGTATCTGTTTTCAGATAAGAAAAAAATATAAATAGAAAGTGGATAGAAAAAGAAGAAAGAGATGAAATGATGAAAAAGAAAATAAAAAGAAAATAAGAAGAAAATAGCACAACAGAGAACAAGTTTAAAGAAGGGAAAGCCTAGAATAGTTATGGGAAATTATAAATAAATTAGAGGGGGAAAAGGGTAGAAAGCAATTGCAAAAATATGAGATTTGCAAGTCAGAACTGACTAGAGGCGTTCATAGATCGAATTGCTATTAGTGAAAATCAAATGATGCCAAAGGCAACATATAAAAATTACAAAATATTTATTTATCATATAAGAGATGATATGTCATTTGTTAAATTTCTCATACTCTCTGAAATATTTTCTAAACATTAATAATATGATGATCATATTTTCATATCATGTAACGTGTCACTTGTTAAGATTTTATATTGACCCTTTATAATATTCTGTGTTTTTAGAATAAGATGATCATATTTTCACTTTTTTCTTTGAATGAATGATCTTGGTTCTTCAAACATTCCTAGAATTGGGTTTTGTTTTTTGTAGGTTGGTCTTGAAGCAAATCAAAGATGGGTGGATCAAATGAGAACAATGGACCTGCTGCCATTAAACCCTTAGACTCTCAAGGTAAGATTCAATACGAACATTAAATTTCCTCACTCTTCTTTCCAAGCTCTGATCAAGTAGTCTAGATCGAACACAATCCATTTAGCTGTAATTTTGTAAGAATTTTCTTATTCTTTCTCTCTGAATTCAAAAGAAGGTTCAAGAATGGTGGGATTTCAGATGTTTCAACAGCAGAAGTTAAATAACCGCAGAAGGGCTCTCAGCAATATAAATCATAATATGTTAGGACCTACCAACTACCCTTATGTTATTCACCCAAAAAAAACCCACCCTTATGTGGTCAACAAAAGAGGATCCTTGGAGTAATTTCCACAATCTTAATCTGAATTATGCCAATACTAATTTTTTCAACAATTTCTCCTTCTTTTGTAAACTAAATTGGTTGTTAAATGTTTAGGAAGGATGTAAAGGGGGAGAAGAAAACTATGCTACCCTCCATATTTGTGTAATAAAAAGTACGGATGTAATTCCCTTATTTTAATTTTTTTTATAAGTATATCAAAGAGAAGACATTATAAACAAAAATGTTTTATTAAACTACACCCATTAGCTTAATTAAATTTTAATATAAATTTTAATATAACTCAGCACAAGTTGTTCACATTGATTCAAAAACCAATATGCTCTGGTAAGTTTGTTTAGCATGAAAGAGTAGGAAACAGCAACAAAATTAGTTTTTTCTATACAACACATATTAGCAATGGTAATTGAGTTATAAATTTCTTGCACAAAATAATAATAATAATAATAAAATTTGTCCATGCAATGCAAGGGGTTACCTATAGTTAAAATTATAAAAAATTTCTCTATCTTTTTCCTGCAAAATTTCATCCTAATAAAATGTTTACAAGAAAATATATTTTCCTTTTCTTCCTTTCATTTCACATTCAAACAAATTTTGTTTCTAATCAAACAGAACCTAAAACAAAGAAACAGCTTAACAACCATTACAACAGAACAAACCTCTCATTCCACAAACAGTCTAAAAAACCAACTGAATATATTAATTTACGCATTCAAACACATAAAATCAAAAAATAAAAACAGAGATTGAGATTCAAAAGAAAGAGCATGCAAAAATAGAACAGCATTCAAAACCCTAGAAACGGAGGGAAAAGAGAGAGTACCTAACGAGAAGAGGAGTCGTCACTAGAGCAGAGGGAGTCGTTTGCTGCCAAGGAGGAGTACAAAAATCTGGAAAAAAAAATGAAAAAAGAGGAAACAGAAATCTGGAAAAAAAAAATGAAAATTGATGTCTTCATTTTTCGTTTGCTGCGAAGAAACAGAAAAAAAAAAATCTGGAAAAAAAATGAAAGAAGTGGAAGAATCGAAGAAAAAAGAGATCGAAGATGGACAGAACAAAGAAAATGAAGAAGAAGAGGAGGAAGAATCGAAGATGAACTTACCGGAATGTGATCTTTGAAGGAGAGAATCGATTAGCACTTTCGATTAAACCTCTTCGATAGCTTCACAGGAAGGAGTTCTTCAACTCTTGGGAGTCTCTCCGTGTTTCAAGAAAAAGAGAGAGACAATTAAATAGAGTAGAACCCTAATTTTTTGTTTCATGTTTTGTTTATTACAAAAGTACCCCAAATTTATATCATTATTTTAAACAGACCAAAAAACTTGCTCCGGTACCCTTTAATTTGTAAAAAATCTCATTTTGTACCCCGAAGTACCAAAAAAAGTACCCGTAGCATGTCCATCACGTACCCATCATTATACTGATCATATAAAATGTATCCAGTGCGTTTTTTGGCGTACTCGGTGCGCGTGCAACCGTATCGGTGTATGTACCCGCACCCGGTAAATACTCGGTACTTGTACGGAAATATTTTTGGAGTACCTGTGCTTCATATCCACCCGAAGACCCTCATTCACAATAAAAACCTATATCTATAAAATTCCACTAATACTAATCATAATCATAAATATATACACACAAAAGGGGCATAAAAAACAGAGAACTCACCAGAAATTTCAAGAGGTTTTTTATTTCAAAAGACAAATTTGAATGAGTAACTTCAATGGTGGTTCGGAGCTGTGAGTAACTTCAATGGTGGTTCGGAGGTGTGATGAAGAAAACAAAATAGGGCTTCGTTTCATAAACAGAGGCAAGGAGAAGGAGAAAAGACCTGTGTGTTTGTGAAGTTCAATCTTACTGGGAATGGAAGAGTCGTCCTCTCATTTATGGGTAGAATAAAGGCACGAATTTGTGTATAGTATATTTTATATAAAATCAAATTGAAATGTTTTATACAATCACACTATTTAGAGAGTGTGATTAAAATATATATATATAATCACACTTATTTAAAAAGTGTGATTAAAAATAAATATCATTGTCGTAGTGTATATATAATCACACTTTAATTAGAATGTGTGATTAAAATATATATATAATCACATTTTAATTAAAAGTGTGATTAAAAAATATATATATAATCACACTCATTTAAAAAAGTATGATTAAAAAGTAGTAATGTATATATAATCACACTTTAATTACAATGTGTGATTAAAAAATATATTTATAATCACACTTATTTAAAAAGTGTGATTAAAAAGTAGTAGTGTATATATAATCACACATTCTAATTAAAGTGTGATTAAAAAATGTATATATAATCACACTTTAATTGGAATGTGTAATTAAAAATATATTTATAATCACACTTATTTCAAAAGTGTGATTAAAAAGTAGTAGTGTATATATAATCAGACTTTAATTAGAAAGTGTGATTAAAAAATATATAAACAATCACACTTTAATTAGAATGTGTGATTAAAAAATATATTTATAATCACACTTATTTAAAAAGTGTGATTAAAAAGTAGTAGTGTATATATAATCACACTTTAATTAGAACGTGTGATTAAAAAAAATAGATATAATCACACTTAATTGAAAAGTGACATAAAAAATAAATATTATCACACTCAATCAAATTAAGTGTGATAAAAATATTAATCTAATTTTTTTTATCACACTTCCAAAAAAAGTGAGATGTTTTTTTTTCTCAAAGTGTGATCTTTAACTATTTTTGTAGTAGTGTAAGTTTAGATAAGATTTTTTGTTTTTTCAAAGTTTCATTAATTTTTAATAGACGAAATTACCTTTCAAATAATAGTTGTTCATTATTTGTAATTGTTTATAAAAGAGTACGGTGATGTAACATTTATTTTGATTTTCAAAATTTCAAAACATTATACTTTTTGCAATATACATTTCATTTTTGATAAAATTTATATTATTAGGATCAACACAACAAAATCTATCAAATAAAACTAATATTAAATATAAAATTATATAAAAATAAAAATATGTTTTTTATTATAAATTTACAATTTAAATAATTTTTAATAGTAAGTTTTCTAAACTAACAACATTTACTTGGTTCAATTTTCCTTATAAAATATGGAGTTGGTTGAGTTAATTAAGATAAATTTTTATACAAAATTGAAAAAAAAATTCTTAAAATGAGGAAGTTACACTAAAAAAATTACAAATTTCATCCAAAAATTAAAAATAGATTGCAACTATTAAATTTATCTAAAATATATGATTATTAATATTTGAAAAATGTTTCAATTTGAAGAAATTTCTCAATTTAAAAAATTAGCAAATAAATCAATTTATAATTTTCTTAATTTCTAACCATATATTAAAATTTTATACAAATAAAGTGTCTCATTCACACATAAATATGCATAAACGAAACAATGAGTTATACTAGGGATCTCAAATATTCTACCAAACCTCTCACATGGGTGTGAGATTCACACATATGTAGATTTGTGTGAGTCTCATTTCATGTGAGAGGTTTAGTAAAATATTTGATAGAATATTTGAGACACATAATATTTCTCCAAAACAATTATATGGAACATTTCTGTGCAAAATTAAGAAATTTCTCAGTTTTTCTTCGTTTTAAAACTGAGAATATTATTAGTTTAAAATTGAAAAAACTGATAATATTATCAACTTTAGCACTGAAAAAAATTGAGAAATTTATCAAAAATTGATAATATTCTCAATTAATATGAAAAAATTAAGAAATTTATCAATTTTATTGGATAGTTTCACAAACTGAGAAATTGTTAGTTTTGCATAGTTAAAAAAATAATATTTTATTTTTATAAAATTTTGTATTCAATATTGGTTTTCTTTGATAGAAAATTGTGTAGACTCCAAAATATATTTTTTATTAAAAATAAATGTTTATAATAAAAATTATAAAGTTTCTAAGTTTTGAAAGGGACCCACAATTTTGTGTTTGGGTATGAACCGTAATTTTTGGTGATTGTATATAATATTGTTATATAATGCACTTGTAACACTAAATAATTTTTTTATTAGCACTTATTGAATTGACGTTTTTCAATTTCTTCTGTCTTTTAATAAGGATAAAACAGTCATCTGCATATAAATATTTTTAACATAGGATCTTATTGATTAAAAATAATGAAGTAGGACTTTGTAGAGGACCAACCTTTCAATCGGACTTTTAAGTAATTAATTTATTTTTTAATTGCATAATGTTATTAATTAATAAGAAGCTAGGCCTTTAATTTAGAGGTTGGCATAATGGGTAAAAGGTTGACTAAATCTATGGATAGGCCCACACCTGCTTGGGTTTTGGGCTAAGGTAAGTAGATCTTAGAGAATCTAAAGCGGCCCGTTGGTTACAACACAATCCAACCATTTAACTCTTACCTCAATCTATTTTGATTTAGGTGAAATATTAATAAATTTTAAATAATAATTTTATAAATTGTTTGGTTATTTATTTATTTATTTATTTATTTTTTATGGATACAAAGGTATTATTTTAGTGTGAATTATATAAAGCATTAAATATCAACGCACAAGTGTTATATGTTAAGAGACAAATGTGATTTTTCTTCTAATATTGAAATTAGCATATGAATTTGTGCGATACACGGGCTAAATAAATAATTAAAAATAATTTTAAAATTAAATAATAACATAAAATTTATTTAAAAAGTGTAGAAAAATAATTTAGAATGAATTAAATTTTAATCATTGTATTAGAATATATATTGCAGTTGTTATGTCATTAATTGTATATTTTAAGTTCACAATATAAAATAGATATCATAATTTAATTGGTAATATGAAAAAAATAGAATAAATTTAAAAATTATATTTATGATAAAATAAAAATAAATTTCATTTTATAAATTTTTTAGTTTTAGTTTATTTTATGTTAAAGTTTGTAATAAAACTTAAATACACCTTTTAGAAATAAAACAATATATATTGACAAAATCGTTAAAATCGATTAAAAGACTAACAAATTTACACAAAAATTAATTAATTAAAACTTTTAAAATTTAAATTGTTTTCAACTGAAACATGCACAACACTATAATATTAAATGGGAGCATATGTTTACTTTATATAACTAAATAACTCACTTTTTCTTTCTTTTTTGATGTGGGATTGTGTAAAATAAAAATTAACAATTGTTCGGGTGAGAAGTTTATTTCGAATCAAACAATATCAGTCATTTAATACCAATATATCAACTGAAACATGCACAATACTACAATATTAAATGGGCCCATATGTTTACTTTATATAACTAAAATAACTCACTTTTTCCTTCTTCTTTTTTTTTTCCAATGTGAGATTATGTAAAATAAAAATTAACAATTGTTCGGGCGAGAAATTTATTTCGAATCAAACAATATCAGTCATTTAATACCAATATATTTTTATAAAACCGCTAAGATAGCGGTTAAACCAGTGAATCAGTCAAACAAAAAACGGTTCAGCCTAATCGGCTAGGTCAAATGACCAATCAATTTATATAAAAATTAATTAATTAAAACTTTTAAATCTTATTAAATGAGAGCATATGTTTACTTTATATAACTAAAATAACTTATTTTTTCTTTTTTTTTTCCGATGTGGAATTGTGTAAAATAAAAAGTAACAATTGTTCGGACATAAAGTTTATTTCGAATCAAACAATATCAGTCATTTAATACCAATATATTTTTATAAAACTGCTAAGATAACTGTTAAATCAAACAAAAAAGGGTTTAGCCTATTAGACTAGGTCAAAAGACCAATTAACTTATACAAAAATTAATTAATTAAAACTTTCAAACTTTATTTTAATTTAAAAATTTAAACTGTTTTGAACTAAAACATATAAAATACTAAATAGGAGTATAAGGTTCATTTTATATAAGTGAAACAACTCACTTTTTCATTCTTTTCTCAATGTGGGATTGTAAAATAAAAGTTAACAATTGTTTGGACGGAAAGTTCATTTCTAATCAAGTAATCAGTTGTTCAATCTTTAATTAGGTCAATCTTTGGTTTATTTCGAATCAAACAAATTTAACCAATATATTTGATAAAATCGCTAAAATCGCAATTAAACCAGCGAAGTTTATTTCGAATCAAATAAATCTAACCAATATATTTTGATAAAATCGTAGTTAAACTAGTGAATCAATAAAACCGAAATGATTCAGCCTAATCGGCTAGGTCAAAAGACCAACCAATTTCAAATTTTATTTTAAAATTTAAACTATCTTGAACTGAAACATATACAACACTACAATATTAAATGAGAGTATAAGATTCACTTTATATAAGTGAAACAACTCACTTTTTCCTTCTTTCAATGTGGGATTATAAAATAAATCATATCATCGACTAATTAGAGTTTTTACTTTAAAATTCAAATTGTCTTGAACTGAACTATGCACAATATTACAATATCAAAATGGAAGTATAAGATTTACTTTATATAAGTGAAACAACTCATTTTTTCTTTCTTTTCGCGATGTGGAATTATAAAATAATTCATAAGCTAATTAGAGTTTTATTTTATATGGTTAAATGGAAGCTAGCAAAAGGAATTTTTTTTAATTGTTTAAAATTAAAGTTAAACCGGCGAATCAATTAAATCGAAAACGATTTAACCTAATCGGTTAAGTTAAATGTCCAACCAACTTATACAAAAATTAATTAATTAAAACTTTTAAATATTATTTTAATTTAAAAATTTAAACTGTCTTGAATTGAAACATGCATAACACTACAATATTAAAGTTTACTTTATATAAGTGAAACAACTCATTTTTTCATTATTTTTCCAATGTGAGATTATAAAATAAAAGTTAACAACTATTTAGGCGAAAAGTTTATTTCTAATCAAATAATCTCAGTCATTCAATCTTTAATCAAATCAATTTTTAATTTATTTCGAATCAAACAAATTTAACCAATATGTTTCGAAATAAAAAATTATTCAGTCTAATCAGTTAGGTCAAAAGACTAACCAACTTACACAAAACTTAATTGATTAAAATTTTTAAATTTTATTTTAAAATTTGAACTATATTGAATTGAAACATGTGCAATACTACAATATTAAATAGGAGTATAAAATTCACTTTATATGAGTAAAATATCTCACTTTTTTCTTCATTTCCTGATGTGAGATTATCAAATAAATCATATACTAGTTAGAATATTTTTTTTATATGGTTAAATGGAAGCTATCCAATGGAGATTGTTTTAATTGTTTGAAATTAAGAAAATCAAAAAAATTAGTATAACTCTTTTTGCTTATATAATATATAGATTACTAAATATAACACTTCAACAACACTTCTTAGTGTAATTTTTTCAAATGTGACACTCAAAAAACGTAGCACTCCAATGTAACACACTAAAGAATTTCTTAGTGCACTTTTTTCAAACGTAACATTCCAATCAACGTAACACACAAAAATTTTCTTAGTGTACTTTTCTCAAATATAACACTCCAATGTAACATATTAAAAAACTCTTTAATATACTTTTATTAAATGTAACAACGTAACATTCTAAAAAAAATTCCTTAATGTATTTTTCTTAAACGTAACACTTCAATCAATATAATACATAAAACTCCTTAGTATATTTTTTCCAAACGTAACACTGCAATGTAATGCACTAAAAAACTATGTAGTGTATTTTTCTCAAACGTAACAATATAACATTCCAAAAAAATTCTTTATTGTATTTTTTTCAAACGTAATACTCTAATCAATATAACACACAAAAACTTCTTAATGTACTTTTTAAAAATGTAGTACCCTAATGTAACATTTAAATGTAACACCAGGTGTACGGGGAGGAAATAATTCTCCTCGTATAATCCTGTTGACCAAGTCCACGCTCCTCCGTACGACGTCGCTTTATCACCTGAAAACACAAACGTGAGCTAGCCGGCGGGTGTGTGCCGGAAACCTCTCCGATGCCTAAGTCAGTAAGCTTGACAAATAGACAAAGTTTTATGTTCTCAGAAAGAATTATGTTCAATTACCTCCTCCAAGGTGATGCTTGTGAGCTTTTATAAGTTTCCCGTGGCACAATCCTAGTAGGACTTGTATTTCTCCATGTAGAGTCCTCCTAGGATTCATTCTCCTAAGGATAATGCTTATCCTTTTACACCCTCCCCCACTGCTTAAACCAAGTGGGATGGTTTTCTTTATGGCCGAGCTTCCATTTGACCGAAGTAAAATTGGCTATACCGAGCCACAGAGGGCCGAACTATCCTTAGCTCGGTCTTCTCCTCTAACTCCTTACTTCGGCTGCCCTGTTCAACCTTGATGTGCTTAGATCAAACTTCCAAGTAATAAGTTCTGACCGACCTAACCATTGTAAGTCACGACCGGACTAATTCCGAAACCGGCCTAACTTCAAGTTGTCAAAACCGAAGCAGCTTTGCCATTCCTTTAGCCGAAGTAACTTCATTATTTGTGAGCCGAAGTAACTTTGTCTCCCCAAGGCCGGAGTAACATTGCTCTCCTGGGCCGGAGTATCCATTACGGCCTTTTTACCTAGTCCTTCGCGTTTTGGGCCTCAACGCCTAACTCGCAGCTCGGCCCAATTTTCCCAAAAATTACCCTCTCAATTGCCCCTTAATTCCATCTGCATAGCATGATTGGGATTACCAGTCCACCAACCGAGCTGGCGTCGTTTTAAGCTTTTCCAGCCGAACTAAAAATCGTCGAACTTTTAAGCCGAGCTAATTTTACTTCGGGCCCTATTTTGTCCGGTCAAAAACGTCTCTTCAATCATAGTGTCTGTAACGCTTCCCATTCTTATGACACGTGGCATGTTTTGGTTGGCTAAGGACGGCTGTCACGCCGTCTTCGTGCTTCGTGAATTTGAAACAGTTCCCGCTTTTTTCTTTCCTCATCCCTCTCTCATATTTCACAAAACACCCCTTCCTTACTGAATCATTCACCTGTATTCACATACCCTACCTTCTCTCTCTGTCTTCATTTCTCTTGCTCCCAAATCTGTGCTTTTCAGCGCTGCTACTGCTCCATCTTCAGCTTCTTGTTCTCCAATCTGGTAAGTAAGCCTACCCTTCTTGCTCTTTTTTATTTGTTTTACCATCCGTTTCTGTTTTGTGTGCTTTTTGCAAACATTTTTCTCTATTTGTCTGCTTTGCTTTTGTACTTTTATGAAGAAACCAGTAGAACCCCATGTATGTATGAACTATTATGTAGAAAACCAGCCTTAGATCCAAAATCACATAGCAACCGGACTAGGATACTGTTTGTCCAATATTGGTAGATCACTTCAGCCAATAACCGAACTAGAACTTGTAGGAATATCAGTAGTTTCTTCCGAACCACTCTAGCCAAGATAAGATCACCGAACAAACGTGCACATACCGAACTAGGTACTTCGGTCTATAACCAAGCTAAGCTTTTGGGGCCAAGCCGGCTTTCTTAGTTCTAAAACCGAACTCAGAAAGCCACCCCCAAAGGCTTAACCGAAGTAACTCTATTCATATTGTAGCCGATCTAGGCCTTGGGGCTAAACCAGCTCTCTCAGTCTTTCAGACCGAACTCAGAAAGCTGCCCCTAGACGTTAAACCGGTCTACCGAGCAAACTGCTCAAACCGAGCTGCCAAGCCTTTAGATGAACCGAGATAGAACCAGCTAATTTGAGGCCGAAGTAGGGCTCTTATACCTTGCTTTTAAATTGTAGCACGGTCCATTGATCAGTGCTTTAACCCCCTCTGCTTTTTACTTTGCAGACTTAGGTTACCCAGGCACTCCTGCGTGCGCTCAACCGAGCTACTGAGCACGATTTTTGCACCGAAATAACTTATCCGTAAATTATACAACAAATGGGTAAGTATAGGTATTTAGTTGAGACCCCTGGCGGGATGGCCGAATTCAGGAAGGACTATAACATACCGGATGACGTCCATTTGACTTTGGCCGAAAAAGACATCACACCCTGGGATAATGAAGGCTTC